AGATTACTCTTAGATATTATACAGATTCTTCTGATATTGTACAAAAACTTGAATTCTTAGATAAACATAAAAAAGTAATTAACTTTTTAGTTGCAGATAAAAGAACTTGTTATTTCACATATATATGTAAAAGGGTAAGCTAAGAGCTAATTGATTTGATATCCTGAATCAACTTATCTATGTTGATACAAGAAGACCCACCTTCCTTAATACTATCACCAGCCAGCCTTGTAAATTTATTAGCTGATTCCATGATTTCTTCTCTTTTGTTAATGATCAGTTCTCATACTACCTATTGATCTATCACACGTGTTCATAATAAATCCAATTTTCCAAACCTCACTCACACACCTACTATTAACCGTTGGTCAGCAATTTTTGGCCAACAAATCATAGGCACTCCATCGACAATACTCTCTAACGTTGAGTTCCATCCACCGCGTGTCAAAAACCCACCAATGGCTGGGTGCGAGAGGAGCTCCTCTTGCGGCGCCCAACTAACGATGAACCCTCTTTCCTTGGTTCCCTTTTCCAGCTCCATTAGAATATGATATCACCAATCAAATCAGGTCGTATGACCCATAAGAATGATTTTTCACTCTTAAATAAGCCATGCCAGAATTCCAAGATTTGGTCCCGAGTGAGCCTTATCATACTCCCAAAACCAACATATAATACTGAGCTTGTCGGTTGAGAATCAAGCCGCGTCAAACATTTTTTGTTCTCTTCCCATAAAATACCGTTGGATGAAGTTGAAGGTGAAGAGTTATTGATGCGTGACTTGAAACTTGAAAGCATGTTGAGGACCAATGGCGTAAATTTTGTTGAAGAAAGAACCCAGTCTAGTTATCATAGGGGCTTCAATTTCATTTAAAGTATAAGACCAGAAGCTCGAGAAGGCAGAGGTTTCTCTAATGAAGAACTGCAATATAGGGTCATCGGCTTTTTCAAATCTACAAATGCCTGGAAGATCTCTCCGACGAAGAATATTTTCTAGCCTAGGAATGCAAGAAATAGGCTTTTCAAGGTTTTCATCTGCAATTACAATGGACCCTAGCATCACTATCTTTTTTATCAAATATTTTTCTCAATGAAAGCTTTTTATTTGATAAGGAAACATATATACCATTAATAAAAAAGATCTTGGTTGGGTAACTTATTAGGCTATTATCATCCATTATCCTGGTGCTTTCCACCATGTCAATCCTTATAACAATATAACTGGAAAGGTTTGTAATTATCCTATATATATACATAGCATATTCCTCATTGAAAAGATTAGGGTAAGATATATAACTACAAAGTTACCGGACCACTCACATCCCCGTTTATATAACCCCTTAAATATAGATGTTTTGTTGCATTTTGAATCTTGTCCTTCATGTATGTAGAGTTTATGAATATCTAATATAATTGTATCAATTTAAATATTGTGTATTTTAAGTTTATATTCTAATTATATGTCCTAGTTGGTGTATCATAAATGTTAAAGAGACATATAAATGATAATAATGAAAATAATAACAATACTCGCCTCCAAATGGAACTTCCCCTTCTTCAACAAGCTTGGAAAGATGGAAGTAAATCCACAAGCAATGAGCACTGTAAGTTCGAAAAGTAATAGTAGGAATTTCAAACTCTTCAGCAACATCAATGGCAAAACATATATTACCATCTGCTATTACGCACGTTGGGAGCTGGAACGGTCCCTTTTCCTCTTTAAGTGAATTCAACAGCTCACGCAAGGCCGGCTTGAACACAACCCTATTGAAGAAAAGCAATTTTTTAGCGTATAGACCGGAACGTGGGTGATCGGGCGGAAGACCATCAGATATATAGACCTGAACTGAAACTTGGGGAAAGCGATTACAGAAGGCGGATATGTCAGTGTTGTGCAGGAGAGGATCGTGATTGTGATCTGAGTTTACGAAGGTGACTTGAAAACCCGCACGGCTAAGAAGCAGCTAGACTCAGCATGGGCTTGATGTAGCCCTGTGCTGGGTAGGGCAACAAGAGCACGTGAGGAGCAACATGCATTTTCTCCAATTTTTCGATGGGTCTGTGAGGATCTTTTGGGGAGTGGAGTAGAGTTTTCAATGCCAAAGAGAGATTTTAAAACTTTTGGAATAGAAAAAACAAGTCACGTTAGAAGCAAGAAGTGAGGATGAATTGAACTTTAGAATTAAACAATGCAGCTTCAAATGAAAACTTTGCCATAATTAATTAGAGCATAAGACTCCAATAAACAGCAGGTTATGTAATTTGTTTTATATATCTTTCATGAATTATCGGTGTTGTCACTATAGCAATCAAAGAAACATAAGGTAGTCAAAAGTTTTCCAAAATGGGTGTCAAACTTGTGCGCACCTCACCTCAACTAATTTCTTAGAACTATGGACTGGATAAGAGTTTTAGTGGTCATCTCTATTAGTGTCTGGGGGACTGAAACTCAAGAATTCATAGAACCTTATTTTACTCTTTTATCATCAAACCACCCCATGGTGGTTAATGATGTTGTTTTTGCCAATACTAAAACTCTCACCTTCAAACAATTAATTTAGTGAACTTACTTGACAGAGACTACATATTACCAGTACAGCACTAATCTCCCATTCTTATAATCGCTCATGTTCTATACACATTTACTCTTTGGCAACTCATGCCCCATTACAATGTCATCTTCAAGAATCCTCCTTTCTCTTGAGTTGAGTTGGACTCTTTCTGGATTCTGGGCTTTCTTGTCTTAAACTAGTTTTTGTTTGGGCTGACCCATTTTAATCAGCCCAAATTTTCTGAATAAAATTCAGCTCATCATATAAACTTAAAATAAATGGATCCTAATAAACACTTCACGCAAACTTCTTTCACTTGTGTTAACGTGACAGTTTATAATTGATCAGTTCATATTTAATCAAGTGAGATCTACTATTGGATAAATGATTAACGTAACAGTTTATAATTGATCAGTTCATATTTAATCAGGTGAGACCCACTATTGGATAAATGAGACTCATTATGGACTCACTAATGTTAACGTGACATTTTACAATTGATCCGTTCATATTTAATCAGGTGAGACCCATTATTGGATAAATGGGATTTATTATAGGCTAACCAATTATGAATTAATACATCTCATCAGTAAAAGAAAATTAGAGAAAAAGATTTATGAGTATAGTATTATTATTACTATTTATACCTTGAGGTTGAGGACACCTCTTGATCATTAGACTAGTACACAATGATAAATTGACGTAACGTAAAGGATATATAATACAATGAATCCGTTAAAAGCTTACGAAAAAATCACATGACTACTTTATGAATCATCAATATGACATTATTATCCCTCCCAACCTCCAAATTAGTAAGAGCCTGATACTGCAACCCCACTGCACTGCACGGCACTCTGCAGTCACGCACCACTGTCAACAGAAAGGTGGAATGCGCACCTGAGCGTTCTCACTCCCACTGAAAGTAATCCACTGTCATCAACCTCCGTTTGATTGATTCCTTTATGCAAGTTGCAATTAGAAGTGACAAAATTACTATTTGAAAATCAGAATAAAACAGGACAAAATTTCCACTGGATAAGCTCAGCCGTTCTCTCTTTTTCTTCTTGTACTATTCTGATATTGGGTCATGTGTATGTGGCTCAAGCTTCAGAATTAATACACTGATTTTCGTCTTGCAAACTGGAGGACAAAGTATCTTAAAAAGAATCACATTTTATTAATTATGTCTCAATTAGGAAACAATATAGAAAAGATAACCAAAGAAAAAGGCAGGCATCTAGACATCCATGATTAAAGGCCACGTAGAACAAGCTAGAAAAAAAGACATTTTATATACTTTTAATTCATATTTTGGCTTCCTACTTTAGTTGGATTTGTTCTTTCCTCTTTAACAAAGCATAGTGATCGCCCACAACGCCTCATAAATTAAAGTGCAGAGGATAACCGCATGTGAAGAATGGAATACGACACCCCCTCCTAAAAACACCCCCCACTCCGGAAATTAATTAATTAATTAATCGAAAGTAAAGATTCCCGCCAAAATAAATAAATAAACCAAAAATTTTCCCACATTTTTTATGTGTCATGACATGACCCAATACATTTCACACTTAACCACCACTAGATTTTATAAAATCTTTAGTATAAAGTTGTTGAAATGGATTTTAATTATTAATAATACTATTCAAGCCTTGTTTTTTAGGTGAGAGAACAGTCAAGGACTAGTAAATGGCTACCAAAAGAGAATTTAATATAATCTCTCAAATTTAAGTCTCTATAATATAAGAGTAAGAGTAGTATCTAATATGATCTCTCAAATATGAGAATCGAAGATAGTCTCTCAAATTCAAGTTTCTTTGATGATAAAAAAATAAAAAAATGATCTAATATAGTCTCCTAAATAAGAAGATTTTTTTCCTAAATTTAAATCTTCTTAACTAGAGTTTTTATTTAATTGATAATTTTAGAGTCTCAAAAAATTAATTAAGATTGATGTCAATTAACCTAATGAGTCCCGATCAATCAAAAGTACAGTAAATGATGCAGTTAGTCAAAAGATTATTCGGATAACATTTCAACATTTCATAGTAATGAGTCCCCACTGTCACCATCTTATTAAACGAAAGTCGTAATCCAATTCCATATTACAATATTTTTTTCTTTGATTTTAATTATCAAATGTTAAAAACGGACCCTTTCAAGCAATAAAGACAATAATTAAAGTCAATTAACCTTAATAATCCAAATCCCAAATCGACGACAACTGAATCACCAAGTCCACAGCTACAGTGCCCAAACCAATTAGAATCATTGTAACGTCAGAAAATCATGACCTATACGGGCCCACTCTACGGCATCGGGATTCGATATGAAGAAATCAGACTCCAAGTGGGGCCCGACCTAGTCACCACCCCCGGCCTCAACTCTACGACTCACTTTTAACCGTCTGATTGAAAAGCGAAACGTCCCTATTGTTGCCACTACTCTCTCAGTGTAATAATTGATACCCTGTTTTGGCTCTGCTTCTTTATTGCTTCTCCGGCTTTGAACAAAAGAAAAGAAAACAAACGCACGTATACGATTACCAAGAAGAATGATAACCTGCATTTCCGTTTCTTGATTTCTGTAGCGGTAAGCTTAATTCTTTTCTTTGCTTTTAATCCACGTTGTTTCGTTTTACTGAGTCACCGCCTCTGTGTTGGATCTTTATCGATATTGCCGAGGATTTCTCTTTTTTCTGTTGATGTCAGTTTCATGAACCTGCATTTTCTTGATCTTGTGCACTGGAATATCGTAGAAGCTTTTGCAATCGTTTTGATTTTGGTTCGTGGAGAGATTTTTCTGTTTGTATGTAATTTCGTTAACCAAAACGATGAGTTTTAGCTCGCATTGTGTTTTTGGTTTTTCTTAATTTCTTAGGTACTTTACTTCATATATGAGCATGAGTTTATTTTCGTAATTTTTCTTTGATCTGCATTAGTTTTCGTAGCAGCCAAACGCGGTAAAATTTTCTTGTTTTGTTTCAATTTTTTTGTTTGGATCCTTTAGTTTATTGATTTGATAAGACATACCGTGAACTTGCGGTTAGGCTTGGTGAGGGATCGATATTTCAGGCAATGAAATATCCATCATTGAGTTAATAGAGAAAGAGCTGAAATTTAATTTTTTTAAGACCTGATCTTTAGCTGGCAAGATAATATTGCAAGGTATCCAAAGTCAGTTCAACTAAAAGAATTGACTTTTGTCAGTTTGTGTAATTTAGAAAAATTACGTTTCTCATCTCAAACAAAATAGAAGAGATTACTGTAGAGCTTTCTGAAGCGATAAACTAAACTTCGTTCTTGAGAGTTGAGAGCACATGTTTAATAACTCAGTAGAGCAATGCTCGATTATTTAAATTTGTGGAACTGGTTTAGAGATTAGAGTTGATTTGAGATGATTGAGGCAAGTTTTTGATGAATTGAGCTTGAGAAAACGAGGAGCTCATCTCTCTGTCCTCTTATTATTTTTAGAACAGTAGCAATCATCGTCATTTTTGTATCGATTACTGTGGTTGACAATATATTGTTGGTTGCTAAAATATCAAACTATCTTAATCAACTTCATTTTCTTGCTGCACCTGATTAATTGTATGCTGGCTTCAAGACTTCAGAAGTTTAGTTGATCTGAATGCTTATAGTGACTTAGTTTCTTGACCATCTTTTTTATTTAAATAATTTTTTATAGCCATTTGATGTGATATTATCATTGGCACCCAGGGAACTACACCTGTGGCAGTGTATTTGAGTAACAGAGAACCGCCCAAGCATATGCTCCTGCGGTTAAGATGTCTCGTGAAGTGTGAGCATATTTGACATGATGGCATCTAATGTGCGACCAAGTAGGAAGGACTTAAAATCTGCTACGAATATGAGATTTAGTTCAGAGTACAAAGGGAACTCAAAACAGCTGCGAAACTCAAAGGCTGGAAAGGAGAGGGTTCTTTCACACGATGAACATCAGGTTTTGAAGTCCCAAGGCAAGTTAAAGGTAAAACGTTCTGTCAGTCCACCAAATACTGATGTGCATCATGATCAAAGACGGGTAGCAGAAGGCAAAATCTTGGTCCAACCAAATTCTTTGGGGAATCAGCTAAGGCAGTATGTGAAAGGAAAGGCAACAGAAGATGATGAACTTGTCAAACACATGTCCAATTTGCCAGTTTATCTCCAGCGCATGGAGGGAGGAGAGAACCTTCAAGATAAAGCATTCAATGTCGGGGTTTTGGATTGGGCACGTTTAGAGAATTGGAAGTATACCCAAAAGAGTAGCCAGACAAGTGGACACAATAATGTATCATCTACAAGCAGTATATCATTGAGAACAACTATCAAGTCATCTACCTTTTCTAGTGCAGCGCAACAGGGAACACATGCTCATCAAAGTGAGCAAAATCAAAGTTTCAACCCATCTCAAAAGGATGGCTTTCCTCGAGGTGCGAAACCATCTAGCCAGAAGGTTTTACGCTTTCAAGATTTAGAGACTTCTCCAAAGGGCAACTTGGGTGGCAATAGAAAGATAACACGGGCTAGTAAGTCTTCTGCCAGCAATAATGCAGATGTAACTCTCAGAAAGGGAAAGACAAGATATTCAGACCAGAAGATCAGATCAGAAATGGAAAATTCGTCAACAAACTTGACCAATTATGTGAAGATTGCAGTCGGTCAGAAGGAAAAAGAGAGTACTCGGGATGATAATGTCAAGAAGAGGGTAGAGGAGACAAAGGAATTCAATCCAAATAGAAAAGTTTTGGATAGAACTTATGTGGTCTCACCCGGTTCAAAGGAAAAGTTAGGTGATGGCTCTGATGAAACTAAGAAGAGAACACGGAAGTCAAAAAGCTCCCTGAAGGAATCCAGAGAACTGTTGGATGAGAATTTGCTTGAAGCAAGTCACAATAGCCTTTCAGGCGGCTTTCCCCTGGAGGATGTTTGCTCTGATGAACTGGGTTCCGATATTCCACACTCCTGCCCGCTGCCTAAAGTTGAGACTAAAGTCGAGCCAATCTTGACGGCACATAGCCTTGCGAATAGTCCACGCGTGGAGTTCTCATCTGATGCATTTCAGACACCGTATTCTAACAAGACTTCCAATATACTTTCTCAAGGGAAAGAAGCAGAACAGAACACCCTTGAGGATATGAATGCAAACGTAGTCGAAAATCTGAAGCTATTGGACCAAGAAATGGCAGCTACAAAAAGCCGAAATCCATCACCAAATCGCCGGTTTAGCTTCAGCTTGAGTCGGAGTCGGATTGGCAGAAGTTTCAGTTTAAAAGAGGGTTCAACTGTCCCACAATTGAGCTCCCCATATGTTTCTGTCAAGTCTGGTCCAGTGAAGTCTGAGGAGGTTTCGTGTTTGGCTGATTCAAACAGAGAGAGGATAAATGGTCCGAACAGAGCTAGATCTAGCCCTTTAAGAAGGATCCTAGACCCACTGCTGAGGTCCAAGGGCTCAAACCCAGTTCATGCAGCTGAAACTGTTCAGCCGAAAGAAAGCTTAAGTTACATCAGCCTTAGGCCAATCATTGGCTGTGAATCTCTTCCAAATGAGAAGCGTGAACCATCAACAACTCAAGCTCTTCTTCAGCTTATCATAAAGAATGGACTCCCTTTGTTTAGATTTGTGGTCGACAATAACATCAATTTTCTAGCTGCCTCCACGAAGAATTTGGCATGTGGGAAGGATGATTGTGATGAAAATTATACATTTTACTCTGTGACTGAAATTAAGAGAAAGAGTAGTGGTTGGATAAGTCAAGGAAGTAAAACGAAAAGTTGTGGGTATGCCTATAATGTTGTTGGTCAGATGAAGGTTTCCAACTCTCGTTTTATAGATTTGACAGGACAGAAATTAAAAAGCGAATCCATAGTTAGAGAGTCTGTTTTGTCTGGTGTCGAACTAACACATGAAAATCAGGCATCTCCGCAGTTCATGCTTAGTAGAGAGCTTGCAGCTGTTGTTCTGAAAATGCCGAGTGAACAGCAGAAAGATACAGATGTGATTGAGAAAGGCCTTACAGAATGTATGTCAAGAGATGGATGTTCTGTAAACTTCGCAGACAATGGCAACGGTAATAGTACTACAGTCATACTTCCAGCGGATGTTCATGGCCTACCCAAAGAAGGAGCGCCTTCACCATTGATTGAGAGATGGAAATCTGGTGGATTATGCGATTGTGGGGGTTGGGATGTTGGCTGCAAACTACGAATACTCACTAAACACAATCAAAACTGCAAATTTCGCTGTTCATCTAATTGTTGCACAAATTCTGATCGTTTTGAACTTCATCTTCAGGTACCATTTTTATATTACCAGTCAGTAACAGTCTTGACACACCATTTGTTATTGTTGTTTAGCGATTCACTTCTTGTATTGCATTTTCACGCAGGGAGGAACTCAACAGAGCAAACCCATGTTGAGTTTGGTGCCATTAAACAAAGAAATCTACTCGGTTGAATTTAATTCATCAGTCTCTCTGTTGCAAGCATTCTTTGTTTGCATCACAGTTTTGGGCTGTCAGAAATCATCCGATATCTCAGAAATGAATAGCCTGTGTGAAGCGAAAAGTTTCCCAGCGGAGTCAGTGGTGAATGGAAATGGGATAAGGAGCAACCCCCAAAATATTTTCTCAGAAAAAATTCCTGCCAAATATGCTCCAAATCCACCCACCTCCCCTGTTGGAAGGGTATAGATATATACTCAAATGCAAGTCAGTTCTTTTGCTTTCTATTTCATGTATAGATATCAAAAATGTTCAAATAGCCATAGACTTCCAACTTAATTTCTATAAAGAATATCTTGTATTCATGATCAACCGTTGTGCATAATGCCAAATACGGCGAAGATTGTAATACAATGAGCATTTTCGTACTCGTACATACATTTACTTTTTACTTGGACCAGAAAATAGATAATCTTCTCTCAATATAAGAAGATTGTAACTTGTGACGCAATGAGCATTTTCAGAAAGCCGAGAACCAAAATAATGCTTATGCACTGCACTGTTCATCTGTTTCTTGCCAATAATTAGATTTTTTGGGGGAAAAAAATTGTACACAAACAACAAAGCTTTGGTATCAATGAACATAACTAATGACCAATATTGTTTCTGGTTGAGATTGAAGAATAATTTAAAAAATCAATCAATCACAGAGATATTTTTGTACGCCAGCATCAACTAGAACAAATACTCATTTCAAGTGAATTTTTTTTTACAGCTCGTAATTATCCTAACAAAGCAAATTTTCTGGTCTGCGACCATATTTCTAATCACATACCAGAAATTATAATTATAATTATCCATAATAATCTAACGGCAGATTATTGTTTCAATCTTCAATTTATGAAGCCAAATAAGAAAAAATACTAAAATTCATAATACTAAATAAGACAATTGATCCTATTTAGCGTGAATTTATGTGTTCACAAATCAATAGGTGATGCATGATGAATACAGATAAACCACTGACCATTGATCTTCTCAAACAAATTTGTTACGAACTGTCCTCCCCAACTGCTACCTTTTGTCCTAACAAATTCTATGCAAGTAACATAACCTACATTCCCTCTAACATGAATTCGAACATCTTTCACCTCAATTGCTAGCGGAAAATCATAATTCATCCATACAACCTCCCAACTTTCCATAACAGAATCGTAACCAGATATCCCACTTGCCCCCGGGTGCACACAACATACATTATCCCCTTTTGCCCACAGGCCTTGCATGGCAGCAAGATCACCATGCTTGAATGCATCATAAAACCGAGCATTTGCTCCCAGCACTGAGGTCCGGGTATCTTCTTCAAACATTCGAAGACTATCTCTGATTTTTGCTGCTTGGACATAGTCTTCCTCCTCAATGGCAATCTGTAGTTCCCGCTTTAGGATTTCCTCATCCAACATAATGCTTTCACCACTTAAGTTTCCCTCAGTATCATCACTTTTTTTCACTTTACAGGATCTTACGGATAACAATTCAGAAGCTTGTCCAAAAAGTGCTGCACTAAACTAATACACAATTATACCTGCTTGATGTATAAGTAATATTGGGATAAAGCTACTCTCTAAAATGAGAAACTTATTACATATTCCAATTCTGAGGAATTCCCTGACAGATAAGTTGGTGTCTAACAGAAAACGGCTCGACTAACATCACTTCATCCCAATAAATACACAAGGGGATACAAAATGTAATTCCTTTGGATACCAAAACATATTATTTAAGTTAAGGACAGGGACATCAACAAACCATAGCAAACAAAAAAAAAAAAAAAAAAAAAGAAGAAGAAGAACTTACGGGCTTCGCAATTTAAGCCAAGATTGACTACAAATCGAATAGTTTTCCCACTTGCACAGCTTCGAGCTAAACCTATCTTGCATTGGCTTGAAGATGGTAAAAAGAGGCAATGATGCCTCCCCAAACTGTTAACGCATGACCAGGGCATACACTTGAACTCTTTCATATCCATAACATTCACCTAAAAACCATTTAAACTAAACTAAATTACATAACTTCTTCAAGACAAAAGAACTATCAAACGTGTTGAAAACAAAAAAAAATAGGATCTTTCAATCTTCAAACGGGTTAATATATAAATTGACATAAATATTTGATGATGCATCCAATTAGAGTTACCAAATCTTCAATAAAAACGAATACAGAAATTTCACAACTAAAAAAAAAATGATGAGAAGAACAAATTACGTTGTGGCGGAAGCTAGCTCCTTGAAATGACATCGGCGAAGAGACAAATAACATCAGCTGTAACGAGTCGGTAGCCTGAGGATTAGGGTTTTTGAGTAGAGCCACAAGAAGACAGAGAGTCCCGAAAAAAAAGAAAGAAGATGGATTAGTTCGCGAATTGCGATCATACAGACCTTTTTTTTTAAAAAAAAAAAATTAAACGTGGGCTGGGTGGGCTCTCCTGGGCTTAACTAACCCAAATTATTGTGGGCTGAATGGGCTCCCATGGGCTTAAGTTAACCCAACTTAATTAAGTGGCTGCCCATTATGGGCTACTTTAGAAGTGTCTTCTCTGAGAAGTCGCAATTCGTAAAAGAAGCTTCCTAGAAAATGACAACTTAATCTGATTAATTATTTGTAGAAACCAAAACTTAGAAAACATTCTAGAATTTTGAAAGCGGTACTAGTCACAAGAAACTTTCGGCATTTGATATGACGTCCCCGATTGCTTTGTTATTTTAATGGTAGATATATCCTCTAAGCTTTGAAACATAGTGTGGCTTCAACGAGAATTTTCTTTTAAAAAGCCATCAATAATTCATATAGAAGATAAACGTTATCTATTTACTAGCTTAACCTTTTTTTTCTTTTAAGGTATTATATTATGATTACTTCTCTCACAATTTTTGATGTGATAACTTATCAGTAAATATTAATTATTATTTTTATTAAAATATATTTTATTTAAATAATATTATTTATCTTACTCGAACATATATTATTTTAATATGATAAATCCAATAAAATCTTACTATAAGAGTGTTACAATTTTATTTTTTATTAGAATGTTTAAGTCAGTTTACGTATACTTCAATTAACCTTTAGGGTCTATTAAACACCCTATATACTCAATGTTTGAACTTGAAACAATTATGAAGGGTTAAAATTTGGAACACTAACAAAATCAAAAATTTATAAAATTTGAAAATTATTGAATGTAACTTATGAAGTTGGTAATTTGGTATTGCATATAGAGGGCGTTTGATTGAGGGTTATATGAGATTATTGGGGTTATGTCGTCTTATATTATTTGATTACCACGTTTGGTTGTCAAGTAATATAAGATTCCGATATTCTTTCAATATCAATAGTAGTTATTGCTGGTAATTTGATAACCTCAATTTTCTTAGGTATTGTAAGATTACCAAGGTAATTTTATTTTTGTTATAATTTTATCATTTATTAATAAAATTTAAGGACAATAATACCCTTATTTTTAAATTAATTTACGTAAATATAACATTTACTATTTCACCATAATTAATTAACTTTTTGGATAAAATTACTCTTGAATTCAAAACAAATTACAGCCCACTCAAGCCAATAACCACATGCCACTGCCAGTCGCCAACCAAACCACCGCCAACCATCGTCGGAAGTCGCCTGGAGTCGTCGTGAGTATCCCACCGTCACTAGGAGACTCCAATATGGCCGTCTCTGGCCATATTGATGGCCGAAAACACCTTTATCCGAGTAGATCTGGCTGACAATGGCCATATCTATTCTAGCCATTTTCGACCAGATCTACTCCAATAGGGGTGTTTTCGACCATCAATATGGCTAGAAACGACCATATTGGAGCCTCCTGGTGACAGTGGGCTACTCACTGCGACTCCAGGTGAATTTCAGCGTCTTCTAGCGGCGGATGGCGATGGCGAACAGTGGCTTTGGGTGATGGGGGTGATTTTGTTATAAATTAAAGTTTTATATAAGGGGGGTGTTTTAGCTAAATCTGAAATGTTGGGGGTTAAAAATTATTTAAAAATTAATAATAAAAATAATATTATATTAATATTTAAAAATATGATAATTTAATAATTTAAATAATATATCTTCTAATTTATTCTTTCCAACCAAACATATTAATATAATACAAATTTATTTTAACTAACCAAACATATTTTTTTAAGGATTCTCAATAATCTTCAAAGTAATCTAATATGTCCCATAATCCAACATTTTCGGACTAAATGTGCCCATGGAGGAATCTTTGATCTTACTCAGCAGAAGTGTAGGATAGGCAATAGCCTCATAACCGGACCAGCTTTAAAGACAAGTTATATGTTGCCGCGTTATGGGTAATAGGTTTGGTACCGAATTGGTCAGAATATAACATGGGTTTCGTTACTTTTTACAAAATTAATTCACAAATAAATAAAAATTTATTATTCGAAAAAATAAATGATTCTAAGATATAACTGAAAAAATATATATATTTCTTTAAATTTAAGATGATATAAATGGTAAATGAAGACTTATTACTTTATTAGTTATTACAGATTTAAAAATAAATAAATAAAACGGTAGATACTTACGGAAGTATGCATGTGGAATCAAGATATTTGTTGTGCTTGTATATTGACAATTCGGGTTGCAGTACCAAAATTTGTTTGAGCAAAAGTTGAAGGCATTCAGTGACTCTAAATTCTGATATATATTTTTTGATTAAAACTTTTGAGTTCATAACATAATGTACACGCAAAATGTGGTGGTGGTTTAAGAAAATGAAAGCATCCATCAGTCTTCAGTGGGCTGAGCTGGGGGCTTTCTGTGCCTTAAAATGCCCACAACTTTACAGTTTTACAACGTTTTTGTACTAATCTAGGCCCGGACCGGACACCCTAACCCATCAACTTTAATTTACACCTTTCAGATTAACAAATATATCTGTTTTAGTACATTGTATTGTACCATACTGTAATGGAAGAAATTCTTTTCCTTTTATTTATAAACAAATCAAGTATATTCATTTGGATTTACATTTGTAAAGGAAAAAACCCATTAGAATATGAAAGTTTTTAGTCTTTTATACAGGGTATTAATAAAGATAAGTTATTAAAATTTTTATTTGACCAATAATTTTAGAGTCTGAAAAATTAATTAAAATGCGCTAAAATATCTCTTAAAAATCCAATAAAAATCCTACCTCACGTGGAAATGAGGGAGTGAATAGGAAGTAACGCGGAGGAGAAGAATCAATCAAATAGAAGAATTAATTTTATTGAGAGAAGAATCAATCAAATAGAAGAATATTTTTTATTTGTTGATAAGTTAGGAGGAAGAGGCTCGTCAAAATCGCGTTGAAGTAGCCGCCTTGGCCGTTTTCTGTCTGCTTAATCTCTACCAGTAACTTCCTCTATTCCTTCAAATCTTAGCCCCCAAAATATTATAAAAATAAAAATCTCATTTCGCAAACCACTGTACAAGGACGGGTCGGCCCCGTCGGCAATCGCGACTCTTGACCGTTGACTCCCTACCCTCCACGTAATTCGATATGTGCGCACCCCACCCATGTTCATGTACTTTTCCCATTTTCCATGCCCCGAGGCCAGGAGGCCAAGAATAACTGTTAACCCTGGAGTTTCATCTCAATTAAATTTACAACTTTACCCCTTCAACATCATGTGCTCAAATCATAGTCGAGAAATCTTATGAATAGAATAACATATATTACTCTCGTGCCTAATTTAACTGAATTCAAATTTCCTATTACTCTTTTATGGTCAATTTACATTTTCTGACTTTGCTTTAAAATATTTTATATTATTGAATTTGAGATTTTAACTGACAGTAAAATAAAATTGATTTGATTTATTTTTAAGCCGTTAGATTAAAAACATTTGAAAGATTGAGATTATATCTTAATTATAATATTTTTAAAGTGCATTACTGAATCTCAACCATCTATAATCCTTTGATCCAATGAATGTTTTTAAAATTGAAAAGCAAACACAAGAGATAGACTGCGATTGGATGCATGCGTTACAGATCATAAATTTGGCAGATTTTTAAATTTTATGGATCCGTTTGATTCAAATAAAGGTAGTACAGGGTGGCATGCATATTATAAAAGCAGCTCAAAGTGGACCAATATTTTTCAAATTCTCATTCAGCAACAAATAAAAAGATAGTTTTTTTACATGTTTTAAAGCGTGCCCCTTTAATAATGCTCCAGTCAAACATTCTTCATGTTCAGACGAAGGCAGTTACATAAGCTCCACAATGTATCATCATCAACCTTTTCGCATAATTCCAATTTCCATATTTCTTTATTTATAAGTTTACTAATCAGATTATGACCATTGGTAACAGATATCAAACATAATTTCTAATTATATATAACGTCAATAAATATAAAGCGAAATAATATTATTCTTTCTATCTCTTAGTACTTATCTGGAGAAATCTGGAAATATCATCTTGTCTTCTTCTTTATCTTATTAGATTTCTTTTTTTTCTTAAATGTAACTTAACATAATTTAAATCTAAATCAATCTCAAGAATATCAAAGATAAATTCAAATATTTTAATGAAAATATATGTTCTTTAATTAATATCATAAGTTTAATTAACCCATAAACGAGATTAATGTAGGTAATTTAACAAATTACTCCCACGTGGCGCGTCCCCAAAATACTGAAATATAACATAATCTTTCATCTTCTAGATCTATAAGATCGATTCGCTCTCTCAAATTTTCAAACTTTCAAATTAAATTTTTTTGAAAATCTTACGAGGGATTATAATAATTTTAGTCTCGTCCCTCGAGCCAAGACGCCCCGTGACTAGTCCAACCACCGCAAGGTTATTTTCGTCATTCCACTCAAATATTTTAACTGTTTTAACCTCCAATGGCCCATCAACGCTAACCTCGATCTAATTAATTATTTAAAAATAAAAAATTTAACAGCAGGCCAAGGCCGGAGGGTTCCAAAAAATGTTTTACTCTCTCTCCCTCTCCTCTCTTTCTCTGTCAGATTAATAAATAAAAAAGTTACCATAAAGTTAAAAACAAATAAATACTTTCGAGAAAGAGAATATCTGTTTTTTTCCACGTTTACTTTTATTTTTTAATTATAATTTTTAAATCTAATTTATCGGACTCTCTCTCTCACTATCGCAGAATTTAGAGAGGGATAGCGTAGCATTAAGGAGAGCAGTAAATAGGAACCTTTTTTTAATTTATTTTTATTTTTTGAAAATTGAGAGTTAAAAGTTTTTTTTTTTTTTTTTTCTCAACTGTCTCTACGTGTTGAACTCGCGTTCTTTATAGCAGACAAAACTGAAAAGCGAGAGAACGAACAGAGAGAGAGAGAGAGAGAGAGAGAGAAATTGAGAGAATCTGAGCGCGATTCTTTTCCGACGATTTAAACCTAATTAACGCGTCATTCAATCCAAGTCTTCGCCCTTTCAAAAAAGCCTTTGTGTGTTTTTAACTTAGCTTTTATTACTACTCTATCTCTCTCTCTTTTTTTTTTTTTTTTTTTTAATTTCTTGATCTCGGTTCTAGATCGCGTTTCGATCGGTTAATAACCGTTGAAAATCGTTTGTTGATTCGGTCGATAGATTTTCGAATAAAAATTTAGGTTATTTTAACGAAGCTGAAGAGTTTGATTAAGGAAAGGAATTTATGTGTGTTTAATGATGTTGACCTTAACTATTGGGTTATGAAGTACTATGGAAGTTGTTGTTTCACGAAAAGAAGAAGATGACGCTTTACATTGGTCGCGAAGCTTCAAAGGTTTTATTCTCTTTGTATATTTCTTATTCTGATCATTCAGAACATTTTAGGTATTGTTTTGTGCCTTTTGTGGATTTAATTGAAATAGTTTTGGCTTTTTTTGGCCTGTTGTGAAGTTATGGAAGAGAATTTGTGCAGAAACAACCACAGAAATCAACCTTCTTATCGAGAACTGGAAGTACTTGCTCGCCGGACTAGTTTTTCAGGTTTGATATTGTATATTGTATTTTATTATATGAATTATTATTTATTTATTTCATTAGTTTTAACTATTCGTGTTTTGATGAGACAAGTGTAGGATCTGGTAGAGGGTTATAATCACTGTTTGTTACACTCTCTCTTTAACTTTAGGGAGGAGACTTATGCTTTTAGCATAAGATTAAATATATTTCAGTTGTTGTTTTAAAATTTTGTCTTAAGTGACTGTCATTTTTCACTCTACAAAAATTTGGGGCTTTGTTCTAATAATTTTTTTCCTGGTTTAGTTATAATTATACTTCTTCGGGCTGATCATATTCTTTATGAAAGTGTTTTCATATTTTATATTTATTTTAAATGTGTGATTAATGTGTCATCTTTTTTCTTTTCTACAGTACATACATGGTCTTGCTGCACGAGGAGTTCATTATCTTCATCGTCCAGGCCCAACTTTACAGGATCTTGGATTCATTCTTCTCCCTGTGAGTACTAATATTTTGTTGTTTTGATGTTTGCTTGTCTTTATATATACATCTAGTTGGAAAGGCCTTCTTATATTTATTCCTGGTGTAAATTTAGGAGCTTGGGCAAGATAAAGCCTACATCAGCGAGACTCTGTTCTCATTCATCTTTTTATCATTCGTCTTGGTAAGGTTCTTTCCGTATTGTTTAGTTCACTGTTTTGCTTTTATCTCTATCATTGATATTGTGATTTCCTTCGTTGGAATGGATTGTAGCAAGTATTCATTGGAATTCCTGCTATCTATGCAAATGAAATTTGAATGCGCCTTGTATTAGTAATCCATTAATATGATGTTTTCAATATGCTGCTGAAAATGAAGTGAACTGCAATGATGGTGTTGGCGTTCAATTATTCATCAATTAGCTAGTTCAGTCTGCTAATGGTTTTCCTCTGTATATATCTGGACTTAATGTTAAATGTGTTACTTCTTTTCCATGGTTTTGAGTTTTTCTTTCATGTAGGTTTTGTGTTAAGAGTGCTTCTCAAGGAAGTTCTCATTTCTCATTTACTTCTATCTAACATGTGGTTTTTTTTTTTTGCAGTGGAGCTTCCATCCATTCATCTTAAAGAGCAAAAAGATCTACACAGTCCTATTATGGTGCAGGGTTCTAGCATTTTTAGTAGTAAGTGATTATTACTTTATCTGTTTGTCACTGCTGATTATAGAAACATCCAAATTGGGGATTATTTGGATATGGTTGATTTTTCTCCCTCCCTTATCGATCTCTTAACTTCACTGGAATTATGGATTCCCTCTGTTTTGTAGAGAACGGTTCAATAGGTTTTAGAATGGTTCATTGAGTTCAAAATGAAGTCATCATGTTCTACATATTCAAACAGAAATTCTTTTATTTTATTCTTATATTTTATCAGCGAAGGAGATTTCACCATAATTTTCAAAGTCAAAACTACTAACGGGTGGTAGTATGTAGAATTTTGAATATGCTTCTGGTTGATTAGTTTGAATTTAAATTTATTTTATTTAACTAACTCCACACAAACAAATTGTTGGGTAGTGTCCAACCTTATTTTGGGGAATCAGTGTTAAAACCTATCTGTCTAACCCATTCTCAGTGCCAAATTATTTCCACTATTTATTGTGAATTTGATTGATTTGTTAGGTTAAATTGTTTATGGTTTCCGTTATAAAATAAAAAAGAAGATATTTGTAAATTTGTTTATGGTTTCTACTTTGGTCTCTGGGCATATTTTTTTGTGGAAGCAGCTCCTGTATGTTTTTCTGACAGTTGATATCTTCTTTTCTTGTTGATTGCAGGTTTCTCAAATTCTCCGGATTATAACATTCTATTCTACCCAGCTTCCAGGTCCAAACTATCATTGCCGTGAGGTAAAGTCTTTATTGATACATGTCTATCATGTTGTTATGCACTTTATATGGTAGTATGCCTTTGGTATTAGACTTCTTTAGTTTTGAAACAGTATTAAATGTTTTTTTTTTAAGTGAAGGGTTGGCAGTTATCTTTGAAAAGTTAATCAATTTGATCTGTTGAATAATGCATTTATGAACCCTTGCTGCATTTGCAGGGCTCTAAACTTGCCAGGTTGCCACGTCCTCAGAGTGTACTTGAAGTCCTCTTAATTAATTGTATGTACTCGTGTTTGATTCAAATCCTTTTGTTCATTGGTTTAAATGATTTTTGCCCATTTGCTTTGTCAAATATGCAGTTCCGCGGGGCGTAGTATATGGTTGTGGTGATTTGATTTTTTCATCACACATGATCTTTACTTTAGTCTTTGTGCTCACATATCAGAAATATGGCACTAGAAGGTACTGGCTTGTACTCATTTCATCAAATTTAGTTTCTCCCACTTCCCTCCCTCAAAATCTCTAAGAGTATTTTTTAATGTGACTCTTTCCCATGGAACTCGAGGCTTTTTTGGTAGAACTACCGAATAGCTTATCCATTGTCGTAATAATTGGTGGCAATTATGAATGCATTCAACATGTATCTAACTGTAAAAAGAATCGCTTGGATCAGCTTACTTTAACTCTGTGGATTTTGTCTGGGAAGTACTTTCCACTATGATAAATGGGCTGGATCTGGGTTGATTTTAGATTCAAGTTGAATTTTACTCTATTATGGCTAAACTTTTTTGCATCTTACTGCATATGTGTAATGGGGCTTTTTTTTTTTTTTTTTTTTAATTGCAAAATTGCAGGTTTATAAAGCAGTTTGCTTGGTTGCTTGCTATTGTTCAGAGCTTCTTGATTGTAGCATCTCGCAAACATTACACGGTTGATGTTGTTGTTGCCTGGTATGAATGTTACAATTATTTCATATTGGTTTTACATTATTTCTGTGCAGTTTTTCACTTTAGTTGAACCATATGATTGTTTTGCAGGTATACTGTTAACTTAGTGGTGTTCTTTATAGACAAGAAATTGCCTGGTAAGCATGTTCTTACTTGGAAATACTCTACATTGTTCATCTTTCCTTCTTGTTTGGAATGAATGGGGGTGGGGTTGCGTCATTGAACTAAAGCAATGATTTCTTTTGTTGCTGCAGAACTGCCTGATCGTAACAGTGGAAGTTCACCTCTGTTACTGCCTGTGAGCACCAAAGACAAGGATGGTAGGACTAAAGAGGAAAATCACAAGCTCTTGAATGGAAATTCAGATCCCTCAGATTGGGTATAAGAATTATTTTAATTCTCTGTAGTGCTTCAATACTATTAAAACTTGCACACTTACAATGCTTATTATCTTCATCAGAGGCCGAGAACACAAGTCAATGGCAAGATTATGGAAGATGGCAATGGAGTCCATGTTGATAGTGCAATGAATGGTGCTTAGATGATGGAAGTTGCCAAAGCTACTGCAGTGGGGGCTGCCGCAAAGGCCACTAATTGAATTCTTGTAATCATGAATTAAAGGTTTAGTTGCTTGAGTCATCAGTTCCTTTGCCTGAGACTGGTAAAGAAAATTGATTTGTATTTTAGAGAAAATGGAGTTTGGGTAATAGGTTTGTATATTTTGCAGTCAACTCTCCTCTTAAGTTTTGGTCCAACATCAGCATCAGCATGTATCTTATCATGGAATGGTAAGATTTCTAGTGTTGCCATTGTTCTCCATGGGGATAGTTTCCTCTTGTATTGTTGCTGTTGCTGTTGAAACTCCCCTTGCTATTAAATTTATAAGGTCAATATAATCATCTTGCAAAAGCCAAAGGCTGTTGGGAATGAGACTGATGCCTACAAGCATTTCAACCTTTTGATTCTTTAGTTTAGGGCCCTTAGTTTGGTCGTTGTAGTCAAAAGTGGTTAGAAAGGGAATTAAAAATATATGTAGATGCAGTGGCATGAGAAGGCACGTGATTATCTTTTCCGCAACTGATGCATGTACTCTTCATGTAGGCTTCTCTTGTCCATACCCGCACCTCGTCTACGTTTTGTTCTTATATGCGAAATTTCACCATTTTGAACAGGAAATGTCTGAATATAAAACTGACACTGCAGCTCATGTCACATGGCTTTCCCCTCTTATTTTAAGTACAGATCACAAACACTTGCATCTTTTGTCACATTAAAAATCCTCCATCCTAAAGGCAAACATTCACCATTTAAGCAAATGATAATTTCTTAGCAATTCTTTTTAGTGCGTGTGTGTCAGCCCACATGCCATGGTTGTAGAAATTATTGGAAAACTGGCTGGTTCAATTCGATTGTTAAAACTGTATTTGGTCCCAACAATTTCAGCTGCAGTCTTGTAAAAGTCCATGTTACTACAATAAATATCACTTTTGATGTGATTTTTTTTTTCACTAACGAGAAGTACACAAATCTTGTGAGGAGATTTACGCAAGGGTTTGTAGTAAACTGGAGATTTAGACATTTAGTGTTGGACTAATACTAAAAAGACAATAAATACAAGAAACAGGAAAATTTTTAAGTGGTTTAGATGTAAGGTGTAATTTAGTCCATTATTATTTTACTGCTCTTTTTGTGTTTTTTTTTGCAAATACAAGTGACCTCAGTTCTAAGTACAAATGAGGCGGTTTCTTACAGTAAGAAAATAGCGTTTCAAAGATTGAAAAAATATCCCTTCTCTAGGGTGTGTGGCTCTTTTATATATTGTTGCGATGAAATAATCCTTTCAGAGAACAACATGCAACCTGGGGCGATTTTGCACATGAAGTAACCCTCTCAAGAGGTGATACACAGTCTGACTAACTGCAAAAGTTGATGCTTACTAATGAAATAATGTTTTGATAAATTTACAAGTGAAATAGCCCTCTAATTAATCGAGTGACATAGAACCTGTTGACAGCGCATCCTGGGGCATGTGGCGTGAATCTAGAATCTAGGCAAGGTGGATTTAACGCACAACGACCAACAAAGCAAAACAGACAGATATCAATTCTTCTTTCTTTATCTGAATGATGTGTTCATTTTTCATAGGATTTGGAAAAAGAAATACTGGTGCTGCATCATCAATTCATAATATGGGTAAGTTTTGCCTATGTTGTATTATATCTTATTCTTTGATGTTTATCCGTAAGGAATGTGAAGGTAATGGGCTGTCTGTTTGAGGAACCAGGTTGGTTTCGGTTGCCCATGTGGGCTCTTCTCTTTAATTAATAGCAAAGAGGCCCCATCCTTAGGCAATCGTTGGGCGGTTTGATTCAAGTGTGGCATACCCCACATGTATGTATGACCCAGAAAACGGTGGTGGCGCAATTTATGCTACTAAAGTTAGTCAAAATAAAAGAATGGTGATGGAAAAAAAAACAATAGCATGTTATGTCTGCTAAGTGATGAGAGGGCTGCAATATTGTCATCATTGATGCTGCAATTCTTGTCTCTATAACGAACACCACTCTCCCTTTTCCTTTTTCTGTAAAGGGGTCCTCTTGACTCCTAATTGGGTGTTTATAATAATTATACCAACTGTCAGATATGGACTTTGTTTCATTATCTCATCAGGCATGCTTAAGCTCAAATATTATGTGGGTTCATTCCATTTTTAATACTGCGAGTGTTTTGGCTTTGTTTTCTCTTTCGGTTTATACATGTTTAAGGACCCACATCAGCTCTTGTTTCAAGTTTCATTTCCTGCTAACAATGTCTTATTTCTCACCCAAATTTTGCCTTGCGCATCATCGGGATGTTTTATGGGGTTATTTATGCATGATTTTGTCGCGCACTATCACAACAATTTTTGCACTGATTTTGTACCAAAACCCCAAAACAGAAAGAAAGAAAAAAGAAATTTGTTCCATTACCTAAAATCTTAGATGCCCAGTGAAGAAACAGTACACTTAATGACCTTCAAAATCTTGTTTGCATTCTTTTGGTAAATGCATTTTGGTTCTAAGAGATATTTACTAGGGATTGATGGCTCACTTGACTTCTGCATCATCAATGCATTGATGATTGATTTGATTTGGTAACATTCTCTGAACGGCGAAAATTTCCGAAATATGTGATGCTGGAGACGTGAAAATATAAAAAAGTAAAATGAAGTTTCTGCATGTGATATTCTGGGCTCTCGCCCATATCAAAGCCAGTGATCACATGTATTTTCTGACTTTTATGTCATCTGATTCTGCTGTTAAGATATATAGCATGACAGCCTTCACGCTAATGTTGAGTTCTTTGCTTCAATGCATGGACCATCTCCAACCACAAATACTAAACTGGTGTAAGTTTTATACCAAATGATGTGATTTTTAGTGTATTTCACTATTGCATCTCCATCATTACACCAAATACTACACCGAAAAGAATATTTTTTTTCTTTTTCTTTCTATTAATAATCAACAATTAATTTATTTTATTAATTATTTTTGTATATATTAATTAAATATTAGGAATGATATTTTTATTATCACAAAAATCATAGACTCCCACTTCAAAATCTTCCCAATTGGTATCTTGTGACATGTCGTCATATTCTCTAAACATAAATGATGAAGATATTGGAGGTAGTTCAGCTCAACGACCTATTGGGGTGAAGAAAGCAAAATTAAAAAGGGAAAATGATGAAGAAGTTTCAAACCAAATTGAAACTATTCAAGAAGAAAACCGACCGCTCACTGCTATTTTCAATCAGGACAACTCAGTTAGGGCACAAAATTATGAAATCCAAATGAAAAAATTGGCTTTAGCAAAATATCGAGAAGATAATAAAATTTTATTCAAAGATTTAAATTTCATAACCGATCCAAGTTTGTGTGAGTTTTTTCAAAATGAACAATCAAAATTTATGCAAAAAAGAGCTCAACAACAAGGTTAATGATCTTAAAATAACTCTAATTCTTTCCAGTATTTTGATGATCTTAGAGGATTCGGAACTAATCTACTGTAATGCTAAATTGTTTTAATTTTAGTATTAATTTTTATTTTGAAGTATTGTAGTTTAATATTTATTATTATAAATATTAGTATATAATTAAACTAACATAACTACAAATAACAAAAATGGGAAAATAAAATATATTTTATAGTAGATGAATAATGCCACACCAAATTGGTGTGGATGAATAGTATTACACTAAATTTGGCATGATACTGTTTGCTTACACTAATTCAGTATAGTTTTTAGTATTAGGTTGGAGCACATTTTCCATACCTTACACCAAATGACGTTGGGTTGGAGATGGCCGGAGTCACTCAGAAATTGAAACTGACCAAAATAAACCACTAGTCAAGTTGAAATCTACAATACATAAGACAGACACTGTCAGCTTCAACTAAACCAAACCCCATTGTATTATGAGTTTGAATTCTTCAAAAAATCAATCAAATAGTCTAGCAACTGGGCCTAATTCGCTGTGTATACTGTATACTTATTAATATTATACCATATGCTTTCCAGTTGTTATAATAATCATACAAGCTAAGAAGAATACGACTTTATAATATGATAATAAATACCATGACACAAAAAATAAAGGTAATATTACGTTAAGAAACCATTTTCATTAATTTTATCTTTTTAATGTAATTTGACAGTTTGTAATTAATCAATTTATAATGAGTCTTACCTATTCAATAATGAGTTTTATCTAATCAATTATAAGTTATAATGTTGTATTTGTAGGAAAAAATTAATAAAAATAGTTTAGGAGAAAATAAATCCCAGTAAACGGTGTTACTATAATCGGATGAAAAGGACTTAACACACAGACAAAGACTAGACTAATTAATTCTCAAAGTTTCATCATTTCATTAATCCATCAATTACCCAATCTAATTACGCTATCTGATTTGATTTTATTCGATTTATTTATTTTACTTTGACTTTACACAATACGACCGTTGATTCCACCCTCACGCGCCGCCTGATTTATCCGCCAAAATTTATTAAATAATTAAAATAAAATAGAAACAGAGAATGATTGATATTGCAGAAAGAAGAAAAAAGGTGAAGCCAAAAAGACACACATGAAGCGTGGGAAAGACACATGGATAATGAGATAAATTAATTAAATTAAAAAATATTCACATTGTAATTCTGATTCATACACACTTATTATAGTATTAGTAAGTTGAGAAACAGTAGTAGTTAAAAAATTAAATAAAACCTTGGATTCACAATTCTTCTCTTCTCATTCTCTCTGCCAAAAATTGCAACTTCGTTTTATTTACGCGAAAACGCACAGTTGTTTTCAGTTTCACTGCAGTTGCAATGTACACCGTCTGATCATTTTTTACTCCCTGCTCCTACACACCGTCTGATCGGTATCCAATGGGAGCTCGCTGCTCTAAGTTCTCTCTCTGTTGGTTCCACTCTCACCTCAAGCACGGAGTGCTTGAATCTTCCGATCTCGGTACTTTTTACTCTCTATGTGTGGCATTTTTTGTAAACTTTGATGTAGGAACTAGGACGTAAGTGTTTATGTAATTTTATTGCAGATAATAACGGCAACTCATGGCCGAGTTTCACTGACTTCAGTTTGGAGCAACTGAAAGCCGCCACGGGTGGTTTCTCTCCCGAGAACATAATATCGGAACACGGTGAAAAGGCTCCTAACGTTGTGTACAAAGGAAAGCTGGACAATGACCGTTGGATCGCCGTTAAGCGGTTCAACAAGCTGGCCTGGCCCGATTCTCGCCAATTCCTCGTGCGTAAATTAAATCCGATTATTAATTATGTTTTAGTTACGGAGTTTATATATATATTGTTTTTTCTTCTGCTGTTTAAAGTTAATGAAGTCTTTAAATGTGGTGTAGGAGGAGGCGAGGTCGGTGGGGAATTTAAGGAGCGAAAGATTGGCGAATCTGATTGGTTGTTGCTATGAAGGCGATGAGAGATTGCTGGTTGCGGAGTTTATGCCGAATGATACTCTTGCAAAACATCTCTTTCACTGTGAGTTGCTTTTTGTTTTTTCATAATTTAATTTATTTGAATCTTGTGCAAAATAAATACATTTGAAATGCATCTATATTTTTGTTTTAAGGTAGGAGTTCTAGGGACTTGATCAACTAGATTATTTACGCAATTTTTTTTTTTTTTTTTTTTTGTAGAAGATATAGGACGTAAATATTGGCATTGATTTCATATACCGATTTAGTAGGGCGTTTGGGGGATCAAAATCACCTGTACATCTAGATTATATTGTTTGGCTGAAATAAATTAAAGGACTTTTGGGAACTGGCTTGGTAGATGCTTTTTGGGAAAGCACTTTTTGAGTAATAAAAAGCACTTTTGTGAAACACATATCAAAATGCACTTTAAATGCTTTCACAGAAAGTGGTTTTACTTGGAAGACCTTAAAACCTTTCTACAAAAATACCGTCTAATCACCCTAACAATGCTAATTAAGAGTTATGATTTAGTGCAATTTTTAGTTTAAAAAGAAAACTATGGTGAAATTATAATCTGAATAACTAATTTATGAGTGAGACAATCTCATATAATGATGAGCATGTATCCTGGTCCATCTCTATTAGAATTTGTTCCTTTATGATTGTTAATGGTCAAACTGATACAGGGGAGACCGAGCCCATGAAATGGGCTATGAGGTTGAGGGTGGCACTGTATTTGGCCCAAGCTCTGGAATATTGCGGCAGCAAAGGAAGGGCACTGTACCATGATCTCAATGCCTACAGGATTTTGTTTGATAAGGTAAGTTGTTTTTGTGCAGTTTCTGTTTATTCATCAGACCATTAAAATGTCTTTCTGATAATATTGAAACTGGTGGTTGGCAGGATGGTAATCCCCGGCTTTCTTGCTTTGGCCTCATGAAAAATAGCAGAGATGGCAGAAGTTACAGCACAAACTTGGCTTTCACCCCTCCAGAGTACTTGAGAACAGGTATGCACAGTTTCCTGGAATAATTGGATTTATGTTACTTGATATGATATTTACTCAAAGATAGGAAGCAGTCACTTAGCAACCTAGACATATTGTTCTTGGTAATAACATATTGGGATATGGAATAGGCGGGAAATAACAGGTCATTGTAGATAGGATTTTAGATCTTTGTGAATGATAACATGGTATTAGCAACATTATGTCCCACTGTAATGAAAATTCATTAGCTTTTATCCCTCTTTACTTATCCATTATGAAGGTTTAGAATGTCAAATCAGTTTATAATTTATATAAATGAAACCCTTTTTTTTCTGGGAAACCTACACAGGACTAGGATAATTTCTAAAAATAAAAATAAACTTTATTAATAAAATCTCAAATAGTTGCTGATATTGTACAGACTTCTGGCCAACTTTCAAATAATGAAGGATGTTGGTTTGGTATAGGTTTACGCAATGATAATGATATGCTGGAGAAAGATGTAAAGTTAAAACTTATTGTCACACAAACTTTTAACATAGAAGTCTATCATAGGACCTTGAGAAAAGATTAGATTTGTATATGGTTGCTTACTTCATTATCTAAATATCATTGGTCTCAGTTTAAGCTAAAGCTGATTTTCTATATGTGCATCTTTTGGCAGGCAGAGTGACACCAGAAAGTGTAGTGTACAGCTTTGGCACCTTGTTACTAGATCTTCTAAGTGGCAAACATATTCCCCCTAGCCATGTAACTTTTTCCTCTTCTATAATTATTCCTTTTAGAATTAGAGAGTATGCATTTTTTTAGCCAAAAGAAAAGGTGTGATTGTAAAACTAAAAGTACTATTAAGTATTTATTACATGTTTAGTCACTTAATATTTGTTTGTTGTTTGCAGGCACTTGACTTGATTCGTGGGAAGAATTTCCTAATGTTAATGGACTCAGCTTTGGAGGGCCATTGTTCAAATGATGATGGAACTGAATTAATGCGGTTAGCTTCTCGTTGTCTGCAGTATGAAGCTCGAGAGAGGCCAAATGTAAAGTCTCTTGTCACCGCTCTCATGTCACTCCAGAAAGAAGCAGAGGTATATACAATAGTTGATTACTTGATTAAACTTCCTTCCCTAAGTGCCTGAAGTTGTCTTGATTTAAAAATTCCTTCAAACCTGGTAGCTTTGTGTTTATGGAAATCCATTCCTTGATCCAAAATACCCATTTATTTCAGTTATATCTTTTCTGTGTGCATTAATTTATTTTGCAATTATCATTGTAATCCATGCGTGCATTGCTCCCAATGTCCTGTAAATAATGTTTAACTATTTGTTCATAAAGGTAACAGTGAAATTACTTTGCCACAGTGGTGTTACTCTTAGTCCTTACATATAAAAAGGGTTTGAAAACCAAATAAAGACACTTTGCATGTTATATCTGATTGCATGTTTTTGGCAGGTTCTGTCACATGTTCTGATGGGTATTCCACATGAAACTGAATCTTCTGCAAAGCCATTGTCATTGACACCTTTTGGTGAAGCTTGCTTGAGAATGGATCTCACTGCCATCCATGAAATATTAGACAAGACTGGATACAAGGATGATGAAGGCGTTGCCAATGAGGTTTGATGGTTCTTCTACTAGACTTGACATCTATTTGTTTAGTGTGAAAAATGTATCTATATAATGCATTTTTTGACAAAATGGTGATGTTTGGTCAACAATGTGAGATTTCGTCTGAATCACTGTTATTTAAACATAAGAAATTTATCTTGGACATAGTTCTTCTGAACAATCTCAAAAAGGTTTTTGTTTTTGTGTATAGCTCTAAATTACTGTTTCTGGTACTGCAGCTTTCTTTCCAAATGTGGACAAATCAAATGCAGGAGACCTTGAATTCTAAGAAACAAGGAGATACTGCATTTCGAGCTAAGGATTTTGCAACTGCCATTGATTGCTACACACAAGTGAGTCTCGGTATTTGAAATTATTCTGGTCCAACAATTTGTCGTAAACCACTAAACCAGACATGTTTAAGCACAATATTACATGACACATAAGAGGAAAATAGATAAATATAGATAAATTCACAACATTGCCCATTTGAACTGAATCTTGTAATGTTTGCTACATGCTTACTATCTAGTCAAGCATCTTCTAGATTTGATTTATGCTGGATATGAAAGTTTGAGTATTCGTTTTTGTTTGCATGAGAAGCTTAAGTTATATTTGTCTCTTGTGTAGTTCATTGACGGGGGAACCATGGTTTCGCCAACAGTGTATGCAAGGCGCTGCTTGTGTTACTTGATGAACGACATGCCACAAGATGCTCTTGGAGATGCTATGCAAGCCCAGGTGGTGTCTCCTGAATGGCCCACTTCTTTATATCTTCAAGCAGCATGCCTTTTCAGCCTTGGCATGGAGAATGATGCACAAGAAACACTCAAAGATGGCACAACTTTGGAAGCTAAAAGGAACAGAAATTGAAAGTGTATAGGGTTTCTCTTTTGTTTTGTTTTAATTTCTCCCATAGTTATGTTCAGGCTCTTGTATTTATTTGGCCATGCCTCATGTCTCATCTCTTTCCATTTTGAGCTTTTGTGATGTCACAGAATTCTTTGATAATTATTTCTGTTGTGGTAATATCTATATTTATGCAGCCCCTTTACCTGGTGAAGGGTCTATCTGTAACATCTGAGTTTACAGAACATATAATATTTTCTATGTTCATTCCTGCAACTTAATTTAATACATGGAAGAATATTTAAACGCTTCTGAAATTTGAGTGGAGTTTAATATAAAACTGTTTTAGAATAGTGACTTTTTCAGATTGTTATATGTGCAATACAATTACATCCCACGCTTAATACCATTCTCAGGTTCTTGTCTAATAGTGACAAGAATATGCTTCTCAAGCTTAAAATTGGAGGGAATAAATCCTTCACAGCCCAGGAATCGACGTGCTTAAGCTCACCTCCCACTACCAAAATCTGAATAGTGCCATCAATATATTATTCCATTGGACAATATTACACTTACAACCCCTAGGTCCGGCTCTCAGATTTTTGTAGATGAATTTCTCATAATTCAAAATTCATCAACAAAATATTAGAGATTGTGAGAAAGAGTTTGTGAGATTGGATTCTGAGCCAATCTTTATTGAATTCTATTATGTCACCAACCTTAATTATATTTATATATCTTGTCAATTTTTGGAGAAAAATTGTGTTTAAGTTTCTTGTAAAACGAACTTTCAACATATTGTGTTACAACGTTTATTTTATCTGAACACATCACAACCAGAAAGAGGAATCTCTAAAATGCAGAAGGAACCACAATACACTCAGCGTGGCAACAGAAAGTGTATAATCAGATTAACTTTTCAAGTACAAATTGGAATTTTAAAAAAAAACAATATGCTGACTTTATATCCTCCATTGAAAAAGCTCAACAAGCTTGATATGAGGAATGTGCGTTTATAGATATAACAAACTTCTACTGTATGAGCAGAAGATGAAATTAAAGAAGTATAGATAAACTATTTAGAGCCTGCATTACTCATTGCCTTAAAACAAATTCTGCAGTCTCAGTTATGGGAATTTTTTTTTCCCTTCTTATATTCCGTTCTCTTTTTTCTTTCTTTTTTTTTTTTTTTTTTTTTTTTTTTTTTTTTGGTTTCGTTCAAACATTCTTTCATAAAATCCTATGACGATGGCACATTAAAGTGAAAGAGCCAAGATATGACAAATGCAAATACCATGCAAGCGAGCAGGAAATTCAGAAAGCGGTGGCCATGCCAGAAGTTTCGAGTCTCGCCATGGTGTGCTGATGCTGAGACCGAAGACATTGCAGTGGCACTGTTGGTCTCATTTGACTGCTCTATAGCTTCCATCTCAGTTGCTCCAGCAACATTGCGCGCAATAGAATTACATATCTCACAGGTCCTAAAAATATCAATTAGACCAAATAAATATAAATACTAGCACTGAAAACATCAAAAAAAGGTTGCACATAAAAAATGCACTAAAGGTCCAAGTACAAGAACAGGGAATAAATACTATGACAGAGTTATTGAAGATAACAGGAAATAAATACTACAAAGCCAGAGCTGTCTGGTCTAGGCATGTTTTTATTATGATTTGCATAATGAGCCATCTGATATGCATTGATGCAGCCCTTAAAAGCTATAACAACCGGCATTGTGATAATAAAGGAAAAATAATGCATGCGCATGCGCATGCGCATTCACATTCGCATAAGTATACATCAATGGAGTCTCAGAATAATAGAGTTAACCTAATGCATCAGAGATATCAGCTTTTTCCAGCATGGAAACATAAGGTACAAAACACTACCCTCCTAAACTAAATCTCTTTAAACAAATAGCCTGCATCTAATAGCATCAATAGAAAACTTCACCTCCAAGTTCCTCTTTAATTTGAATGTGACAGAGGTGGTTCAACAAAATTCTCTCATGAAAAAGGAAATAAGATAAATGTAGTTGTTTGCCAGCTGCAATTAAAACTGCAGCTGAAGGCAAATACAGTAAAAAACTGCAAATGGGTTTGATTTGGATCAAAAATAGAATTCAGATCAAGTGATTGGCATAACTTCAGCCATATTTTATATAATAATATCCAAAAAGACAACTAATTGCAGAGGTCTAACCAATGGTATAGCATAGTGGGTGACTTGCCGCCAGAGGATTGCATAACACAGAAAAATTAGTGCACAATATGCCAAATTTTTTGACAATCACAGATAGTATAAAAAATTATATTAACTTTGAGTTGGTCATCTATAAAAAGGTCAATTATCACCAAACATGTTGGGCAAATTGCAAAATCAAGAGTCCACATTCAGCAAATCAATTAAAAAAGAAAAAGCATAAGGCGGCACCGGCAAGCAATAATCAGCCACCGAGATCACATCCAATCAGGGGGCAAATCTCTACTTTCACAAAAAGAAAGTGAACCAGGAAGAGTAACATAGAGATTCCTAAACCAAGAAAAAAAGACACAACATCAAACAACTGTCACTGTGTTTAAGCATAATATGACGCTGGACCTCCTAATGCTTTACTCTTTTGCTTTACTTTTTTCCAATCAACTTCTTCTTTTTCTGTTGACAAAATTAATTTTGTAACGCATTATACTTAACATATCAGAAACTAACTAAGCTCTAATTCAAACCCAAAAAAATCCAAAACAAGTAATAAAAATCTTGATTCGACCAGTAATAAATGAACATTAAAAACTCACTTGTTTCCTCTAATCTTGAACCAGGCCTCAGCACACTGTTTATGAGCAACAGCTAAATCATCTTTGCAAGAACAACCCAATTGAATAGCAATCCCAGATTCATGGCTATTACTCTCAAGACCCAGATGGCAAATCCTACAATCTTTCTCTCCCTCCACTTTACTACTATCCATGTGCACTTTTATTTCAACTTCACCCCCTTGACTTTCAATCTCCACTGAACAATCAGATGATGAAGAAACTGAAGATACCCTCCTCGAAACGGCGGCATCGGAAACGCAGGCAAAACTGTACTCATCGTAGGACCCAGCTGTCGTTGAGTAGAACTGAGAGTAGCATGAGCCACCGTCCTCGGCGTCTGAAAAGCACACGCTGACGTCACTTCCGGCGATTGAGTGGCGGTGGTGGCCATCATTTTCAGTACCGCCTTGCTCTATATCAACATGGGACATTTCTTGAACTGACATTATATTGTTTCAAAGACTTGGAAGCATTAAAAAAGCTTAGAGCTCAAAACTTTCAGAAAATGTTAACAAAAATGGAAGGATTTAAAGAACTGGGTATTGGATTTGGTGATCTCACAACTCCATCAAATGTTTCTGTTAACAAAAAGGTTTTAAAACAATAAAATAAGTTAGAAGGTTTGGAGTTTTATGAAGAACGTAAAGGAAAAGAGAGAGTTAAACAAAATAAACAATGGTAGTCTATGAGACAAAGACTGAAGCTTTTGCTAAGAAACTTGGACTGAGACCCACTGCGAGGAAGAACAGAAATCGAGCTGTGGATACATGGAAATCGAGGAGAGATTTCATTTAATAAAGTGAAAGACTAAAGACAGACTTGTTGACAGACTTGATGTTTCACTTGGGATCTTTTTCTTCTTAGCAGATTCTGTACGTTTGATTCCAAAAACTGTGAATCTAATTGATGATCAAAGGGTTAATATTGAAGAGAGAATTACAGCTCGAAAGAGCAAGCCAGTTGCAAAGAAATTTCTAAGATTATATTATTACATGTCGGATGATCCATTTTGTTTTGTCGTTTTGCTTTTTCTATTTGTTTTTTTATGCGTATAATATACGATCTTAATAAACTATTTATCGTACAAGACTTCAGGTCTTATTATTTAAAATATATACTTTGTATTTATTTACATGTTGGGCTGTAATACGTTAATTAATAAGAATATTATAATTCATATATCTGTTTATAAAATTCAGGAGTTTAGAATCGGATGCCTTCAAATTGTAGTATTTTTGTAATATGTTAAAATAAATAAAACAAAACTTTTAATATAAATTTTGATGAATTCATAGCTTGCTAGTAAGTATAAAGTAGTAACTAATGTTAAACACACTTATCCATAATTTTTATTTATTTAAATGTATATTTAATTGATACTTTGAATGTATTATAGTTCTAAGTTTTATTTATTTAAATGTATATTTAATTGATACTTTTGAATGTATTATAATTCTAAGTTTGAGTTAATAGGGTAATTACTAGATCTCAGCCTAGTTAGTAAATACGGGTATGATAAAAAAAAGGTATAGAAATTTTACGGATATGATACAGTAAATAGTGAAAAATACGTTTGTAAAAATTTTGTCATAAAATTCGAATATGAAAAAAATACAATACGGGTTTAATATGGTACATTATCAATAATACATTTTGAAAAATACGACAATATCAATCTTAGTTTTAGCACTTTTCATGAGTCATTTGATTAAAATCTATCTAGCATTTCAAATATATGGTTACAATAAAAAAAGGGTATGGGAATTTTACGAGTATGATACGATAAATAGTAAAAAATATGTTTATAAAAATTCGGTAAAAATTCGGATACGGAAAAAATATGAGAATAATTCACGAATAATACGATTGAAACATATAATTTGTGAATAATAAGACTGGGTTAATAAAATAGTTCATGAATAATATATAAATTATATGATCGGCAATATAATTCGTGAATAATACACAAATTTACTAATAAGGAATCTCAGTATAAGGGTTTCGAAAAATTATTTAAGGTTCAGGTAAATTTTCTATTATTAAAAAAAAAAAAAAAAAAAAAAAAAAACAGGGGTGGCGTGTGATAATTGTTTAAGCGGAATTGCGGAAACATCGTTATTGAACAGGTTGACTATGGGTGGACCAGAAGCGGACCACGCGTAATTTATATCTGCTACCTGTGCTTGGTGGAACCGCACAAAGCCTTATTATTAATTATCAATTTAGCGGAGAAAAACAGGGAAAATTCCAACAATACTAAAAGCCAACCCTCATATGCTGACAATTACATCAATTTGATAATTGATTTGGTGACACTTCACAGAATCACTTCCCTCTTCCTTGCGTGTTAGATTTTCATTTCTAAATTCTAATATGCACATCCAAGACAACCCCACATGTTAATTTACCATTAAGGTTAACAAACAAAGTTTAATTCATATCTTTTAACCACAAATCGAGTCTAGATGAATGGGAGATGAATTGAATCATTAGAAAGTGTTAATTAAATCATAATTATGTATTTATGATTTTTATTTACCCTTTTGTTGGGATTTTACTGTCATTCGAATTCCACTTAAAAGGTTGTAATTAAAAACAAAAAGTAAATAAGATAGGATTGAAATGAAGACTATTTGCATTGTACCCATCAAAGTGGAACTGTTGCATTTGATCATTAAATGAAAGTGGAGCAAGTAATTTCAGCATTATGGTGGTGGGTAAGTTAATTTAGTTATGCAAATCGAAGAGTTAGTACAAGAAACAGTTTAATTATAATCGGATTCCTTCAGTTGTGTTTATGATGTTTCCATTTCTTGTTCCTTAGCTTTCAGTAGAGCAGATTGGTAGGCCCTTAACAAATCAGTTCATTCGGTTCCGTTTTGAGTCATCTGGGGACCATTTCAGTTTGTTTACCAAATTTAACCGAAAAAATAGGCACCCAACAAACCCTAATCGGAAATGGTTGGTATGCTTAAAACCCAAAACCCTAATCTAAGAACTTGAAAGTTGAACATGTTGATGTTTGATTTTGACACCAACGACTCGCAGGTGCAAAATGCTAAGAGATCTTAGAAATTACACGTGATAATTCATAAGATTTGAATCTGGAGCTGAAATTATATATGTTTACAAAACATATAAATGATTGACAAGAGGTTTTTATAGTGGTTCGGATACTTAAAGCAAATCTTAATCCACTGTTATTTATTATTCTCTTGATTATTTCTATGATATTGCATGTAAAGCATACAAGATGAAGAAAATTTTTGCTTACAGAGAGAAATAATGAAACTCAAATGTTTGTCTAGCTCTCTCTCTGCCCAGCCCTCCTTTTCGTGAAGAGAGGTGTCAATTTATACACCTTTGAGGTCAATGTAATGAGTGATTTTGCAAGTTGTCTTATACACGAAAACTCTCATCCACCTTATCTTAAAATGAGATAGGATTGGTATAAAATATCTCTGAGACGGTATGGGTCTGAAACATATAACTTGTCTTTTAACACTTAATTTTTAGGCATAACAAAACCCATCCAGGCTTCTTCACATGGGGGCCTTTCAGATTTGTCACTGTCACACTTTACTAAGAAGGGCTTAATGAAAATCTCTTTTCTCTAGCATCACTTGTCTTGTAGAGTCTCTACTCAGGAAAGAAGAATCTAATCTAAACACCCTTTTCTTTTTTACATGTAAAGACTAAGAGTGAGTGAGCTGTTTGTCATTGAAAAAGGTTTAATGTCACTAACCATAGCACTTAGGATTTCTGACCCCTAGATGCCTTCCACTTAAATCAAACTCTATTCCTTGCCTTTGAAATTGGGTAGAGCAAGAGGAATGTAAAGGTATTCTATATTTTGAAATTAGTTTTGACTAGTAACAACAATTTTTACTAAGCATTCTTGAAAATTCCAACTTCAGCTCTACAAATTCGGTTAACTGTCGATACATTATAGAATAGATTCTCTATTCCTTTTATCTGTCTGTAAGCAACTTTTCAGAGAATCACAGGTACAACCTTGCTATTATATTTGTCCTTCTACCTATGTAATATAATCTGTAAACTTTCAAGCTGTAACTGTAGACACACTCAGTAGAAGAGGGAAAGAGAGATACTATATCAGAAATTTTCTTTTTCTTTTTCAAATTCCTACATGCAATATAATCTGAACATCTCTAAAACATACCCTTAAAAATTGGGCAGCAAAGACGTGAGTCGAGCACTAACCTAGCTGAAAAGGCAGTAGCTTCTTATTTGGCTATTCACCACCCCACACGGCATCCCTAATTTCTTTTTTACAGTAATCCTGGTTAGGGACTTAGTTCCTAAATACTAGAAATTATTCAGAATTTCTATGGTAACCTGCAGACCTATGCATGTATTCATATGTGGAAGCTACTTTTATGTGATAAAGAACGCTACTATAGAAGCACTAATAAGAAATTCCAGGTATCTCGGCCATTATTCCTATGAATAATTCTGTACTTAGAGCCCACGTCATTTAATGGCTCGCAGGAAGGTAGCGAGGAAATTATCATTAAAAGGCGACAGCCAACAAGTGTTATTTTAGATGGGAGATAAATTGTAGGATCTCACTACTTTCAGATATGACTTTGCACAAATGTGATAAAAAGCTCATTTTGAGGAAGTAAGACAGAATTTCCATGTAAATCTTACATATACAAGATGAATAAATAATGAATCTTGTAAATCATCATTACTGGAGCTACTAACATGCAATGCAAATGTTAAATATGTTATCTGGCGTGACCAAGCCTGGCTGAAATGAACAGAATACATTCAATAAATCAGAACATATACCAAATACCTCTGAGTCTATCCCACTTTACGAAATTTAACAATCAATCTGTATCTAAATACCATCACCATATCCACTGAAGAAACCAAGAAACCATAGAACTCTTGTTGTATTCTGTACCATATCGGATCCTTAGTACAATGAGAAAACAGGCCATCATTCCCAGATTAATTCTAAAGATTAAGGCACCCAAGCCAACTAAAAGCTATTCCAAGCCTCTACTTCAAACCTTCATCATCGTTCTAGTATCAGTGACTTCTAAATAGCAGTAACAGGTCTTTGATAGGCATGTTTAGGTCATTCTTAATCAACAATGGCTATCACACAGTGTCAGTGACTCTAAAACTTGCAAATCTTTTTCTCAACTATACTCATCGTCTAGTAATTTCAGTTAAAGACTGAATACATTCATCGTCCTCAACTATGGCCCCAAATTAAGGTCGAAATTTAAGGGTTGCCTAATGCCTACCAATTATTTTTATGGAACATTAGTGCCTTTTAACTTGTTTTTTCTGTCTTCAAAATGCCCCATTTGCACCTGAATCCATTGGATACTATCCTACCACGTGTTACCCTTTGGCATTTGAAACCCATTAGCTACTGTCCTAACATCTTGGTCACCCCTTTGCAATTGAGATCCATTATTTCTTATCCTACCGGCTGGATCATCCATCATTCTCATATTGCTATCTCCAATCCACTTTTCAGCCAAGCAAGGTTGCTTATGTCTGTGCTAGGAAGCCAATTCGTAACTTGGAAAGCTTGGAGGCTCTGAGAATTCCAAAAATTCAGGTCCCAACAGAGTTTTGACAAATTCCACCACATTGTATCCCACAACAGCCATAGCCACACAAGTGAGGCACCATCCGCTCACTGTACACTCCTTCAATCAATTTGCAGATCCCAGCATCTGGTAGTGATCTTGAACAAGAGGTCCTTGCATTGGTGTTTGCCTTGGATGTGTGGAAACAATCTCAGGGCCATCCACAGTATTATAACATTGAAAGCACTTACACGTGCCTGTGGCGGAAAAGAGTAGGTTGTTCTTTTAGTTCATGATCAAGATTAGATGAAACCTCTGTTATGTGTTTGTCTGCACAA